AAAAAAAATTTTTTATATATATTTTAGAGAGAGAGGAAGGGGGGGGAGGGGGAGAGAGAGAGAAACATTGCTGTGAGAGTGAAACATCTATCAGTTGCCTCCAGCACACATCCTGACCAGGGACTGAACACACAATCTGGGCACGTGCCCTGATTGGGAATCTTACCAGCGACCTTTTGGTGCACAGGGCAACTGAGTCACACTGGCCAGGGGTGACAGAAGCTCTCTTGACTTCAAGTCTAGTGCACCCATTTATAATCTAGATACAGAACCCTGAAAAGCCTAAAAAGGGTTACACACAAAATATTAAGTAAAAATTCAGTTGTTTTCATGTGTAGTCCACCTTCATTTTGCTAAACTAGTATATTAAAAGGTTATGGAGTATTTTGTTTTTTATGAAAATGTCACTCTTCCTTTTTTACAGTAAGAAAGGAATGAGATATTCAGTCTGTCAATTTGTTAGGTAACAAGACAGGATTAGGGTCACATTATCTAGCCATGGTACAGAATTCTGTTTTTGGGGGGTAGGGGGAACAAAAAACTCTGGAGTTTTAGAATGTTCCCAAATGCAACCTAAGACCATTTAACTCTAACTAAATGAATTAACTTGCACAAAACATTGGCAGAAAAGTAGTAAAGTCAGGAAAAACAAGGACAGAAAATCCCTGAAGGGAAGACACAAAGGAGAACAGTGAGATCGTATCATTCCTCTGTTTAAAAACTTTCTGTAATATTTTAAATAAAAATACAATTAAAAAACAAAAAATAAAAATAAAAAACAAAAACAAAACGTGTTCTAAGACAAGAAAAAAAAAAAATTTCAATGACTTCCCCCTTGGCCTACAGGCTAAACTCCAAACTTTTTAGAGGAACCTAGTCAGCTCTGCCTTTTACCTTTGGCCTCATCTTCTAATCCTTCCCTTTATACATACTTGCCATTTCTGTGTCTGCAGGCTTCTAGTTTCTACCATATGCTGTTCCCTTTTCCTGTAATGCTTATCCCCTTCCCTCAAATCTAAACTCATCTTTCAAGTTCGGCAGAAAGGTCACTTTCTCCGAGAAACTTTCCCTAACAGTCCCAGCTCGCAACAACATAGCCCTCATAATATCTTATAACCCATTATTTACATGTCTCTCTTTCCCATCAAACCATGTTCCTGTTATAGTACCTGCCTGCACATTACAGAGGCTCAGCCACTTATGCTGAATGGACAGGGTGTGCTAAGAGCAAACAAGGGAGCTAAGAGAACTGGAGAAGGAGGTGGTTGAGGGGATATCACTTAGAAGGTATAGGAATAAACTAAGCTAGCTCTAGTTCTGTTTTCATTTTTAGAATTCAGGCTCTAATTAACTTATAAAGCAATGACCCAGTTTGAGAAAAGGTGACTGATTAAATTGTATCACCTGAATTTGAATGACATTTATTACTAAAATTTGTATTATAGTGCTAAAATATTGTTTGAGACAAAGCTAACTGAGGAGGAAATTTTAAAGGTTCTAACAGGATTGAAGATTAACTTTCCTTTTTAAAAATTCACATATTCACACAAATACTTATTTTAGCACTTACTATATGCCAGGTAGAGAAGTACAGTCAGTTTTTATCCTCACAGAGTTCACAGTTTAAGATAAGGATATGTGGGGCGGGAGACTGAGGCATATAAACAGGCAATCAAATAAAACAGGTGCACAGTAATAAGGACGTGCACATGGGACATTATGGGAGCACTGAGAAGGGGCACCTAACCGAGTCAAGATGGTAGGTTCTTTGAGAGTGTATATTTGACCATTTGAATTGAAAGGCAATTCTGTGCAGGGATCAGGAGAAACTGTTCTCCTCTCACTTACTCTAAACATTGACTTTTCAATTTAATCTTTTGACTGACTACTTCTATCTTAAACAAAGAATTCCAGAACTGAGTAGATCACCACTACATCACATAGGGTCGGAGAGATTTCACACTGCTGGCTCCACAATGCTGCAGAACAAGATTTGAATAAACTGGCTGAGGTCCAGCAGTTCTTCATCAAAGGGATGTGTGGGAGAGTATTTACAGTAAGTCCGCATGCAGAGAAAAAGGGATAGAATATTACCGCTTTCTTGGAAGGAAAAGGCAAAGGACATGCTGAACCAAAGAAGTCAAGTGACAGGATGTGGTTTGCATTTGTGAGTCAAGATACAATTGTGGCGGCGAAAAAGGCAGAAATACACAGATCAAATCCCTAATTCC